TATATATATATATACTTATCTTCTTATTAACTTACTTTCTTGTGCCTTAATAAGACTCACATGATCAGATTATTAAAACCTCAATCAATGTGAAGCAGAAGTAATTCAGTGATTTGACCTATATCCTCTGTTTTCTTAGATTGGCTCTCTGCGAAAAAAAATCTAAGACACGCCTGAAAAAACTTACTTCGAATTTAACAATAAACAATGTTAATAAGGAACCAGTCAATGTTAAGGGATGAAATCAGGTAAGATTGATGTGTTTGATTCAAGAAAGAGAAACTATTTTTTTACGAATGGGAAGCAGCGTTTCAAAATAAAACACTTAGGGACAGGAGCTTTAGCAAACCCAACCAATCCATTCATCTACTTTTCCATGCAAGGTTAAGAAAAACTGGTGCCTCCCCAGCAGCAATTGGATAAAAGGTGAGATACATCCTGGACAGGTTGGAGCAAAATCAATAAACAAAAACTGAGCTTACTAAGAGACAGCAAACTATGCTAATATTCAAGAAATGACAGCACTGAATCCATACCAAAAACAGACAGACAGTGACATAAACAAAACATATTCAGCTGATCCATATAAATCTGTATCTGTCCCATTTTAAATAACAGAACTTGGTTTTAAGTTACATTCATGCATAGGCGTAATTTGCAGGGGGTTTAGGGGGGTTATGACCCCCACAATAATTTGATTCAGTCAGTATAACACCCCCACCCCACAATGAAATGACATAATTTGCACAAACACAATATAAATTAACTGGTTACGTAGACAGATAAAACTCTCTTGTTGTCTTTAGGTAACTTTGACATGATGTATAAAATTACAATGTCATATATAGGTTTAATCGTAATTTCTGAAAACAACATGCAGGGTTTTTGAGCATAACCCCCCCAATGGTAGACCTAAAGTTACGCCCTTGCATTCATGTGCAGTTAAATCAGGTGGTTCTCGTACCAAAAACCTAAAGAGAGAGACTAATTTGCTTTACATAGAGCTTTACTGGATTCACAACACAGCTGAACCCATTAGCCTCGATGAGCCGAACCTTTCATGTTTCCTCTCATTTACAATGTATGTTTACTGCAAAACACGCTCCATTTCTGTTTGGTGTTACGCAACATAAGGACAAACACATGCAAGGAATCACACACTTAATTTCAGATCTAAAGGTTTTCTTTATGGGGTTACAATAAAAAATGCATATCTGTTTAAAATGCACACATGGATACAACCTAAAAGGATACAACACAATGTATTTAAAAAAAAACTGAGGGAGTCAAAGGGCAGGAAAATTGTTTTAGATACAAGATAATAGATTAACTGAAATGAAAACCAGTGTGAACACCACTATAAAAGCCCAAATTTAGCAGTTTTTATTGACTCGACCGTGAACTTCTTTGAATGCCAAAGTATTTCAGAGTCAAATGATAGGCCATCTGTTCAGCAGCTGAAGCTCGCTTGAAACTGGGCCATGTAACAGGTCAATGATTCCAAGCACACCAGTGAATCCACACCAGACCGGCTGAGAAAGAAACAAATGAAGTTTTTGGCCAAATCAAAGTCCAAATACTGACTCCAAACACCGGGGTGGGAAGGTGTAAAAACTGTGCACAAATAAGTGGCGACAACCTCTGTGACCCAAAGCAGTTTTGTAAAGATCGGTGGCCAAAATTCCTTCACTGCATTGTGAGTGACTGACAAAGTCAGGCAAAAGACCAATAAAGCAAGTTACCTCTGCTGAGGGCGGTTTTAGCAGACTGTGGCAGACTTTTCTGAAACTATGCGAGCATTTTGCTCAGGTTTTGTGAGATATGACTTTTTTTAATCTCACCCTAAAGGTGTATTTATTAACTACCAGGTCCTTGGCATTAAAGGGGCAGTATTATGTGCTTTCCAAGCCTATATTTCAATTTAAACTAAAATAAAGTAACTATGTCACATTTTCAGCTTATGAAAGAGC